GTGAGCGCACCTATGTCATACAATGCTTCAGAGGCCAGAAGAGGGTTTCAGAGTCCCCTGGAACTGGAGTTAAGGACAGTTTGTAGCCACTATGTGGGTGCTGGGAAGGGCAGTCAGTGCTCTTAACTGCTGAGCCATCTTTCTAGCCCCTAAACTCCAGTTTTCTATCAAAAAGAAACAGGTGACATTGAGCTCATGAAGTATTTCTTATGGTCCAAAAGATCAAGAAATGTCTCAGTTTAGCATGTAACCCACACAAAATGGAGCAATTGAACATATTTTGCTCAATGAGATGGAAAATATTTTTTCTTTCTTTTTCTTTTCTTTTCTTTTTTTCTGTTTCAAATTTCTTTTGAGGCAAGGTCTCACTATGCAGCCCTGGCTGGTCAGGAACTTGCTATATAGACCAGGCCGGCCTCAAACTCAAGAGACTCCCCTGCCTCTGCCCCCTAGGTGCTGGAGTTAAAGACAGGCACCACCACATCCAGCCTTTCTCTTTCTTTTCAGACAGCCTCTTACTGTGGAGTGATGCTGGCCTCAGACTTGCAGCAATCCTCCTGCCTCAGCCTCCTGAGTTCAGGATTTACAGACATGAGCCACCATGCCCAGCTAGATCTGACATTATTACTCTGCTGATAAAATTTCCCAGTTCTGTGTACTATCTCCCATGGTATCTTAGTGGCAACCAGCCACATCAAGAGCTCTACAGTCCAGTGAAACCTGTGCTTCCATATTGGACAGTGCAGGTCTGAGCCATCCCACACCCTTCACTGGGGCCATGGCTCCAGGAAGGGGTGGGAAATTCGAGGATTGGGGAACCACAGCTGATCTCCCCTCTGTCCCTGTTTCAGCCCCAAGCCCAGTGAGAAACCTGACAGTGGAAGGTCAGACCAACAGCTCCATCACCCTGCACTGGGAGGCCCCTGAGGGCTCCGACTCCCAGAACCTCACCTACTGGGTGCAGTGCATTGGAGATGGTGACCAAAATGAGACCACAACAAACACCAGCATCGTGGTGAACAAACTTGTTCCTGCATCTCCATATGAGTGTTCTGTGTGGGTAGAGAAATATGGAGTCTTTAGCTCCAAGGAGATGATCAGCACTGTCACAGGTGAGAGGCAGACAGTATTGTGTGCCCATGTGGCTGTGGGGCATCAAACTGGGGCCTCTGCAAGAGCAGCCAGTGCTGTTAACCACTGAGCCAGCTTTCCAGCCCCTTTAGAAAAATTGTATTTACTTATTTGCTTAGTGTGTATATGTGTGTGGATGCATGAATGCCATAGTGCAAGAGTGGAAGTCAGAGGGTGTCTTTGAAAGTCATTTCTCTCCTCCCACATGGGTCCCTGGGATTCAACTCAGATCATTAAACTTGGTGGCAAACACCTTTATCTGTTGAGCTCTCTCTCTCTCTCTCTCTCTCTCTCTCTCTCTCTCTCTCTCTCTCTCTCTCTCTCTGTATGTGTGTTTGTGTGATCATGGGTATGAATGTGAACAGTACAATGTGAGGTCAGAGGACAACTTTAAGAACATGGTTCTTTCCTTCTACTAAGGGACCCAAGGACTGAACTCATGTCATCGAGCTGTGTGCCAAGAACTTTTACCAGATGAACTGTCTCACAGGCCCTCACCCTATTTTTTTTTCACAACTGGGAATTTCTTACAAGCATACAATGAAATATGGTCTTTTCTATCTCCCATTTCCTCCCTCCAATTTCCCCACATCACCTCCAGCTGTGGTTACCTGCACAGCACCTGCATAAAATGAAACCAGCCAAAATTCTTGCCAGACTGGGTAGATGACGTCCAAGCCCCACACATTACTAAGAAACTATTGGCAGTTGATAGTTAGTAGGGGGTAGAGGGGGAGAATCATTCTTTCTGAGGTTGTGGCCATTGGTAGGTCACCTAGGCTCCAGTAGACGGCACACACCCATGCAGTATATGGGCAACACTCCCTGGACTTAGTGAGTTACTTTTATTAAAAGGTCACCTTATTTTTTGAGCCAAGGTCGCTCCCTGAACTGGAGCTCACTGATTTGGATAGACTGGTCAGCCAGCCCCGGGGATCCTCCTGTTTCTGTTTCTCCAGCACTGGGATTGCACTCTCAGTTACACACAGGCAAAACATACATATAAAATAAAAATAAATAATTTAGGTAAATAATTAAAAATAATTTTTTAGCAAGCATACAAATAGGTTTCACTGTGAGCTTTTCTTCATCAATCTTTGTACTCTGTTCTTTTTTTAGAAAAAAGATTTATTTTTACTTATGTGTATGTGTGTGTCTGTATGTGTGTGCACATGAGTGCAAGTATCAGAAGAGGCCAGAGGCATGGAATTCCCTGAGGTGGGAGTTACAGGCAGTTGTTGAGTAATCTCATGTGGTGCTGGGAAACAAACTAGTCCTCTGCAAGAGCAGCATGTGCTCTGAACTTTAAAGTCATCTCTCCAGCCTGCTATACTCTGTTCTTCCCTTGCTCGCTGCTCTCCCTCGGCCTCCCTCTCCCCATCTTGCAGGTCCCTTACCCCCATAGTTCCTCCTTCTGATTTCCTGTCTCTCTGATTTTGGTGGCACGAGAAGCCAGAGCCTCACACTTACCGGACAAGTGAGCACTCCATTGAGCTGTGAGCCCAGACCGCCTCTTCCTTCCCCCCTCTTCCCTTTATACCTCTTCTTCCACCCTCATAGACCCATTCCATTTTCATCCCCTACATATATACTATGTGTATATGTAATTTAAATCTAAATTCCACACATGAGAGAAAACATATAGTATTTGTCTTGAGAGTCTGCTTATTTCACATAATGGTCTCCAGTTCCTGCCATTTTCCTGAAATGTCATGATTTCATTCCTCTTTACAGCACAATAAAATTCCCTTTGTGTGTGTGACACACATATATCTTATTTTCTTTATTCAACCATTATGGAGGGTTCCATATCTTGTCATTGTCATGAGTGCAGTGGTAAACATGGATGTACAAGCGTCTCTGTGATACGCTGACCTCTGATCCAGGCAGGTGTGGTGACACACCTCTGTACTCCCAGGTCTTGGGAAGTAGAAGCAGGAGGATCAGGAATTCAAAGCTACCCTTGGCCATATATTGAGTTTGAAGCCAGCCTTGACTTCATGATTTTTGTCATAAAACAAAGAATCCTTTGGACTACTTCCACGAGTTGTGTATCTGGTGATATGTTAGTTCTATTTTTAGTGTCTTCCATACTTGTTTCCACACTGGCTGTACCAGTTACATCTTTACATGGGATCCAGCTCTTTAACTGTTGACCCTTCAGCCCCACTGAGCAAGGACCTGCCCTGCTGATGAGGCTACAGGATCAACGTGATTCCATCTGGAAATGGCTGTGCCCTGCAGAAGAGGCTAGCCTGACTAGACATTTGCCACTGAGTGCCAGGCTGCTGGAGCACAGGCCATTCCAGGTCCCATTGCTTAGCAGTGTTCCTTGACAGGCTGGGCTCCTCAGAGATTGGACATGGCACTGTGATTGTATTCTTAATTCTCTGCTCCTTCCACCAGTCCCTAACCCTGTGAGGAATCTGAGGATCCAGGACCAGACCAACAGCTCTATCACCCTGAGCTGGATGGCTCCCATGGGTCCCAGTTATCCCAACTACACATACTTGATCTCATGGGTGGAGGAGAACAATGTTGCCAATGAAACCATAACTACTAATACCACTGTCACACTGATGTCACTGAACCCTGGGAGCTTGTTCAACTTCATCGTCTCTGCCGAGAGGAACCAAGTCGGAAGTGATACCAGGAACCTCAGTGGGGCCACTGGTGAGACATGATGCAGTTCTGGTCCCAGACCTATTGGGATAGAGGAAGGAGAAAATATGGGGGGAGAGGGGTTTCCTGGGACATGAAGACAGCTTGCTAACGTTATCTAGTGTTTCTGAGTTTTGTGAGAAGCAAGGATCCTCACTTCATAATAAGAGCACTGAAGACTCAGTAGCCAAAGGGCTCTTTGGAGTCAGGGAGAGCCAGTATCACCTCTCAGAAGCTGACAGTCACCGGCAGCTGCTTCTATTGAATTAGATGAGTCAGGAATGTCTGGTCTCAGCCTACACTTGGTGGGTTTTAAGGATGAGGACCAAAATCACTCCTGAGGCTAGGTTCTGTGCAGATGGATGAAACCTGGACATCTTTAGGCCTTGGCCTTTAGACTAAGAATGTTAAAGTTGGCAGCTCCCTCTAGCAACATAGTGTGTGAGAAAGGATCCAGTCCTTGGGAGGCCATGGGATAGGCAATTAGAGAAAGTCAGACTTAGTGGGCAAAAGTAAGTGGTCTATAAATCCCATCATACCATGAGGTCATGAAGTCATCTACTTAGAGAGACAAAGATTCCACAGCCTCATGGGAATTGTAGTTTAAGGGGACAATGACATTTGGGGAGAAAAGAAAAGTGATGCGTGAGACCCAGAGCTATAGACAGTAAACAGAGAGAAGTGGGGTGTTCCTGATCCCCACCAGGTTTCTAGGTTCTTCTCTGTGGCTCCCTCCTCTCTCACTAGAACCACTGATGACTAGGGCAGCTGAGCTTTGCTAAGGGGGCCAAAAGCTGACTGGCTCTCCTCTCCTCCTCTCCATCCTTCCCTCTCCTCTCTTCTTTCCTTCCTCCCCTCCCTCCCTCTTCTGAGACTGGAACTCACTATGAAGCCCAAGTTGGTCTAAAACTCATGGCAAACCTCCTGTCCCAATGTTCCAAGTGTTGAGATTATAGGTGTGAGTCCTCACAACTGCCTAAGGGGGATATTTCCAGGCATACCTCCTTAGGGCTCTGCTCACTTTTCAGAACCCAACAAGGTCACAGATCTGCAGTATGAAAGTCAGACCAACAACTCAGTGACCCTGAAGTGGAATGCCCCTGCAGACTTCTACTCTGAATATTATACCTACTCTGTCCAGTGGGTCAGTGAGGGACAAGCCCAGAGGAAGCAAGATCCCCGAGGACATTCGGCCAACTCCACAGGCAATACCAGAGAGACTTGGTATAAGATCGAGAACCTGGAGCCTGGCACTTTGTACAACTTCAGTGTGTGGGCAGAAAGGAACAATGTCTCTGGTTTCACACAGAGCCTCCAGGCCTCCACAGGTGAGATGTCTCACCCTCCCTCTCCCTGGTGGACTGGGCTTAGATCAGAAATTGAGGGGGAGGAAAAAAGAGTGGACTACAAATCCCATGATGCCATGGAATCAAGGCTTAATACACTCAGTAATATAGAGAGTCAAGGTCTTGTGGGGCTTGTAGTCTGAGAGGACTGTGGGGTAAACAGAAGATGTGGTGAGTTTGGGGAGGAAGGGATGAGCTAGCTGTCAGAGAGCTGGGGATGGACAACTTCCTTTGGTGGCTCCTACTGATTTCTTTTTTTCTCTTCACACAGTCCCAAATGCTGTCATCATCACCTCCTGTGTCAGTACCTCTGGTGGCTATGGGGTCATCTTGACCTGGTCCTGCCCATCTGGAGGCTATGAGACCTTTGAGGTGAAGGTGGGCGGGGAGTCGAGCGCCCAAGACAGATCTTTGTGTGAGAAGGGCTTGTCTGTGTCAGGTCTTGGGCCCGCTCAGTCCTACACAGCCACTGTCACAACTATCTGGAAGAGACTGAGTAGCCCGCCTGTATCTGTGACCTGCTACACAGAGAGTGCAGGTGAGTAGAATCCCAAGGGGCCAGAGGCCAGGGACAGAACTTCAGACCTTACTGGGGTTCTTTTGTTTGTCTGTTTACCTTTTCTTTCTTGATTTCTCACCCTCTCTCTTCCTGTCTCTCTCTGTCTCTCTGTATATTTGTAGGACTGACATTTACAATATGGACATAATCTGGCCTAACCACTTTTACCTACCTTGCAACCCAAAAGTTACTGATTATAATGTAAACAAACTCCCTGAGCTGTGTGCTCCTCTTGTGACCTGGGTATATGACCTGAATTCCTCAGAACCTTTCCTTAACCTTCCACCCAAGATGACAAATGAATGTATGTTTGCATGCTTATATTTTTTATTTTATTTTATTTTTTTGGTCTTTTTGAGACAGGATCTCCGTGTAGCCCCAGCTGGCCTGGAACTCACCATGTAGACCAGGCTGGCCTTGAACTCACAGAGATCCACCCACCTCTGCCTCCTGAGTGCTGGGATTAAAGGCATGTGCCACCACACCAGGCTGTATGCATGCTTTTAAAGTGCTGAGGACATGGTGGGGTTTTTTTTGCTGTTGTTGTTGAAAATGATGAAGAGAAAAAAGAGAAGCCTGTCTGAGATCTGTGTGTGATATTTTAGGCCTAGGGATCAATGGGGCAGGATCTTTTGATAAGATAAGGGTGAGTCCTGACTTCTACCTCCCCATTCCATGCTGGAGATGCTCAGCCCAGACTGGAGAGCACAGTTCTGAGAGGCATCCAAAGGAAAAGGTACTCGGCAGCTCAGGTCCACTCTTGGCCTTGAAACGAATGCCAAGAGTCAGGCTGTTTCTTTTTAAACTATTGCTATAATGTGGTTTAGTAACATTGTATGTATTCACAGCATGTATGGGCACATACATGTGGCCAGAGGACAGCCTTGAGTGCTGTTCTTCAGGCAATATTCATTTTAAACAAGTTTAAACTTGGCTGGAGGTAGGAGCATATGCCTTTAATTCCAGCTCCCGAAAGGCAGAGGCAGACGGATCTCTGTGAGTTCAAGGCCAGCCTGGTCTACATAGGGAGTTCCAGGTCAGCTGGGGCTACAGGGAGACGCTGTCTCAAAAAAACTTTAATTGTGTGAGTGTGTGTGCATGCATGTCACATCATGAGTGTAGAGGTCAGAGGACCACTTGCAAGAGCTGAGTCTCTCCTTCTACTAAATGGGTCCTGGGGAACAAAATCAGGTTGTCAGGCTTGGTCTCAAGCCTTTGCCTGTTGAGCTACCTCGCATGTCCCACATTTTTATTTCAGACAGGGTCTCTCATTGGCCTGGAATTAGCTCTAAGTTGCCAGGTGTGGTGGCCTGCTCCTTTAATGCCAACACTCAGGAGGAAGAGGCAGATGGATCTCTGTGAGATTGAGGCCAGCCTGGTTGGTCTACATAGTGAGTTCCATGCTAGTTGGGGCTACAGAGAGACCCTGTCTCAAGAAAACCATAAACCAAAAACCAAACAAAAACCAAATAACAAAAAAATTTATTACAGTTATTCATTTGTGTGTGTGTGTGTGTGTGTGTGTGTGTGTGTGTGT